GCAGAACAATATCCAAGTCAGCATTAAAAATGGTAAGAAACTGTGTAGATGACTGCAGCCAGCAAGCCAGCACTGTGCAGCCATGCAGGAAGCCTGGTGTGCTGATGTACCCTCCATTGCCTCACTGTGCCCCACAGCCCCGGGCCCGTGCTCAGGCTGCAGGGCTGAGGCCCTGCCCACACACTGCTGCCAAGTGCCCTGCACACAGTGTATGGTGCCTCACTGCTGTCAGTGCTCCAGAGAAGCAGCAAAATCTGACTGTCAGAACCCCGAAGGGAGATGCAGCGAGAAGAGCATCGGCAGCACAGCATCCTGCCCTGGCAGCACAAGGTCAAGCAGGCTGTGAGATGGATAGCCACATACAAATAAACATCTGCATGTTTTAGTCCTTCGACGCTGCTTCTTTTCTGCCTCTCCACCTATGTGTTTTTATTGAATGAGCAAACAACATTTGCCTGCTTTACTTCACACGCACAGCTGCTCTCAGCTCTCTCAAAGTCACAGCTAACATTCAAGGCAAGGGCAGAGAAGGATACGAGTGAGGAGCTCCTGATAGAGTGAAACCCTGCAGCTTCAGGCCCAGGCCAGCAGCACAGAAAAGACAAGGGTAGCAGTTAATGTGCTGCGGAGGCAGCCAGGCTGGCACCTAAGGATGCAGCAGAAGGTCATGATTTAGTGGCCACGGCAGTGATGAGTTGATTGGTTGGACTAGATGATCTGAGTGGTCTCTTCCAGCCTTAATGATTCTGTGATTTGCAGTATGTTGGCACCTTTAGAGGACAGCCAAGTAAGCCTGAAGCATCTAGCCCTTATTGATGGCCTGCAAGCCTCGGGGTTGTCATCTCTGTAACTGTTGAATGTGCTGCTGATCTACTAATGGGAAGTTAGAAGCTGGTGCAGAGGAGGATGTCCTAAAGCACAGCGCACCATGGCTGCTGGATGCTTCTGTGTGACCTGCTACTTCCCACCAGAAGAGTTGTCTGGATGCAGTAGATGGCTTTTCGATGTGACTCAGTGGACATCTATCTCAATTATTAGGAACTATATTTTAACACACTTATAGAGAAACTGCTCCATGTTGCACATGTTGATTTTCAGACATCTTGGCTTCTCTGTGCTGTTCCATATACATCGTGCAGCAGCACTTTAAGTCTTCAGTTATAATTTACAATCCAAACAGAAAAGGTGGTGTGTGGAGAGAAAAGGCTAATTAATTTCCTATAAATCGTGCAGTGTTGCAGTGGGAAAGCCAGTGCGCAAAAGGCATGCCTATAACTTGACTGCCTCCTGCTGAAATCACTTTAAGGCATGGAAATGTATCAGTCAGACCCTTCTGTAGCATGAACAGGACTCCAGGCAGAGGCCCTCATGTGCTGGGGTGCTTCTGACAGCACAGAGCTGCCAGATCAACAGCTCAAGGCACAGTCACGCTTTCATCTCCCAGTCTGCCTCATGTGGCTAGGCCTTTTTGATCACGCCATCTGGTCCCCCCTTCTCCCGTGTTTTGTACTTATTTCTGATTTGTAACACATTCTGCAAACTCTGCAGGCACCTTTAGTCTGTAAAAATGTTCAACTGTGACCTCTTACTAAATCCACAGAAGTGAAGTTTGTAGAAAAGCTAGAAGAAACTGTTGGAATCATCTAGATTAAAGTAATTATGCAAGCAAAGATCAATACTCATCCACTCCAAAGCCACCAGTTCTCAATTCTCAGAAAATTCTAGTATCCACATCCAGAAGTTTTGTGACAACATCACTGCTCTGAGCTGACGTTTACCCTGAAGATATATAATGTCAACTAAAACCCAAGGTTTTATGAAACCTGCCACCTTCATCTTGCATCACTGTCAGGAAACCAAACAGGAACTGCAGTTTGCAGAGTGAGAATCCCTAAAAACCTAAGAAATTGAAAACAGCCCTGCTCCACCACGTCACAGAATCTTAGAACTGAATCAGAAAGTTTGGGGATTATTTTCATTTTATTTCTGACATTGAAGAAAATGAATAACTGCTTTTGCTGCCCTCAAAAGACTTCTAAGAGTTTAATGCAGCAGTGTGCATCTCAAAAAAATTACCAAGAATGGAGCAGGGCTATTTCTTTGGAAAGTGACACTGGGCTATTCACCTAATCCTATGAATTTGTGAGGAGGAGAAGATAAGAGGGGTTACTGAGTTGTCATCTGTAAGTATTTAGGGGAGACAGAATGCTTTCTACTTTAAGCTTCCTTTACTGTAGGTAAATAAAGGTCCTATCTTCTGGGATGAAACTGAAGCTTGAGGTGGCCTCAGGAGATGCACACTTGATTCAGAAGGCAACGTCAGCTCTAATAGCAGACCTGCAGCTTAGGTTCTCTTCCCATAATCCTGCAAAGACCCTCTGGTGCTTTAAATGGAAGTGCAAAAACTCTTTGTGCTGAAGAAGAGGACCCCTCTGTGCTGCTCCAGCCGCTGTGCTGGCTCCTGAGGCACGGTGAATTAGCTTTTGGAGTTTACCCAAGACGTAGAATGTCTTGGAAAGATCTCAGCATCAAGTCCTCTTATTAAACACTGCTGGAATAACTTTTTCAAGTCTGAAATGAAAGGTTTTTTTCCTTTTCTCCCTCTTTTCATCAACATACTCTTTACTGTCTGAGACTGAGTAACAGGACATCATAACATACCCCGAGACTTCGCATTTTCTACTTCTTCCTCCTCTCCACAGTTACTAACCAACATTTCAATTAGATGCCTTCATTAGCACACTCCTGGCTGTAGGATCAAGGTATTTTCTCCTACTTGCCTTCTTTTATAAATGTGATTTAACTTTGCAAGTGACACACTACAAGAAGAATTGTCAGGAGAGTCTTTCCTTATCTTTATGGTATGGCTTCAAAATTCTGATACTCTAATCATGAGGAAAAACAATGCATATCATGATTTTTTCTCTAAATTCTTTAAAATAGCAGACAATGACTTGTCATTTGGTTCTGGAGAAGCAAATAATGATGCATTCTGTTTCTGCTTCCTGATTGCCAACAGTATTTGGCTTTGAAATTAGATTCATAAAATCCATTAATATTCTGGTACTGATTATAGTGTTACATTTGATGCAAGAGCACACACTGCAGCAAGGTTATAACGTCTTGAGACAGGGAGGCTGTGCACACTGATCTTGTTATTTCTTATTATTACAAAAATGTCAGAAACTCTTCCTGAACACTTTCACAGAAACCAGCCTTAACAAACTAACCAGCCTGAGCATCAGTTTGTTTTTTCACTTCATTTCAAGAAAATGGGAGTTGATTTTTTTTTTTTTAATTGTCAGAGTTTCATATTATGACCTAGTAGCAATAATAATCACCTGCACATCTTACATCAAAGAGCTCAAGTGTAAATTCCCTCTCAGAATCACAGAATCTCGAAGGTTCGAAAAGACCTCCAAAATCATCCAGTCCAACCATCCGCCTATCACCAATACTTCCCACTGACCCATGTCCCTCAGTACAACAATTACACATTTCTTTAACACCAGTGATGGTGACTCCACCACCTTCCTGGGCAGCCCATTCCAGTGCCTGACCACTCTTTCACAGAAGTATTTCCTAATGTCCAGCCTGAATCTCCCCTGGTGCAATGTGAGGCCATTCCCTCTTGTCCTATTGCTAGTTATGTGGGAAAAGAGGCTGACCCCACCTCACCAAAACCTCCCTACAGGAGCTAGAGAGAGTGATCAGGTTTCCCCTGAGCCTCCTCTTCCCCAGACTGACCCACCCAAGCTCCCTCAGCAGCTCCTCATAAGACCTGTGCTCCGGACCCTTCACAGCTTCATTATCCTTCTCTGAACATACTCCAGGGCCTCCATTTCCTTCTTGTAGTGAGGCGCCCAGCACTGACTGAACACAGCACTTGAGCTGCAGCCTCAGCAGGGCTGAGTACAGAGGGACAATCACTTCCCTGCTCCTGCTGGCTGCGCTATGTCTGATACGAGCCAGGATGCCATTGGCCTTCTTGGTTACCTGGGCACACTGCCAGCCCATGTTGAGCCAAGCACTGATCAACACCCCAGGTCCCTTTTCTACGCACAGTCTTCCCACCACTCTGCCCCAAGCCCGTAGCACTACCTGTGGTTGTTTTGGCCAAAGTGCAGGACCTGGCATTTGGTCTTGTTGAACCTCATCTCACTGGCCTCAGCTCAGCTATCCAGCCTGTCCAGATCCCTCTGTAGGGCTTTCCTACCCCCAGGCAGATCAACACTTCCTCCCAGCTTGGTGTAATTTGCAAACTAACTGAGGGCACACTCAATGCCCACATCCAGGTCATCAATAAAGATACTGAATGGGACCTCTCATTCAACACAAATGGCTCACAGGATCACACGTACTGAAACTGCATGGAGACAATAACCTGAAGCCCTGATGATCCTAGCTATATCTCAGTTGTAGGGAACTTTTTGTTTATCCACTCGACTGAGATTTTCAACCACTAAGAGGAGAATTTTAATAAAAGCGTTTCACTACTGTCAACCACAGCCCACAACTTTTCAGTTGGAGACAACCTATTAAGATGGTAATACTGCAGCACTATCTGCTAAGATTAAGGAACAGCTGTCCACCAAAAAAACTTGCAGCTAAGAGAAAGAACAATTCTGAAGTCTTTTGCTACCCTGACTTTGACGAATCAGAGTCCTGCATGTAATTGCACACATTTCTTCTTCTGGTGGACTCAAGTGTTAGCTCTTTCTTCAGAGCAGCATCAAATTCTATTTCCCAAAGAAGAGGTAACATCAGTAAATGCATTATCAGCTCTAAGCACACGAGGTTTCTGGTACACTGGTTCAAACCTTATTTTTGTGGCTTATTTCCTCCTGTGAGTCAAACGGAACAAGGAAATGAACAGAAGTTGAAGTGAATGCAGGGGAGGTGCTTCCATGCTGCAACCAATCTATCAGACTGGCATTCAAACAGGAACTTTTTTCAGTTTAAACCATGACAGCTGTAATGTGAATGAATAAATGCATTACCTGTATTCCTCCTGTGTGAACCGTGGGATTACTGAAGGTTGAAGTACAGCAATTTCTACAGTAGTGGTGTTGAACTTCACAGGATCTCCATCATCATATGCAATGACCACTAGCTATAACAGTGCAGAAAATCACCGTCTTAGTATAGGCAACAGCATTTTTTATCTTGACTTGCAACAGCACTTTTTGTATTTTCAGGGTATAACAAGTCAGAGATTTTCTTCACTACAAAACAAACACTTCATGAGAGTTAAACACAGAGGAAAAAGGTGACAGCCATCCACAGGTTGAACCATGTGCTAGAAAATATATGGAAATGCAGAGAAACGGAATTTCAATTCCACAGCCTTCTACAAATACACCTCCAAATCTCCAAAAGCTTCCATTAATTACACAATTCATGTTTTTCATGGATTCCCTTCACGTCCTATCAGAGACAGTCCTGACTCAAAACACTAGAACCCATTATAACTTTCCTACTTACAGCTCAGTTCAGCATTCAAGCTCTGGAATACTTACTACTGAAAAAACATCTGTAGCCCCCCATAAAATAAAAACCAGAACTGTTGGGTAAGAATTCTGTTCTGCTAACAAGCATTAATATTTAGAACTAAAGTTTGATATCAAAACAACAACCAAAAAAAACACTATCTCCCCCCAGATGACAATGAAAAAACTCTTAGGAGACATTCTCAGAATGCTAGAACAGACAACACAAGATCTTAAGCAAGGCAAGCCCTTTGTAAATTTTTGGCATAAGTAATTGTTACTAAATATTTACTGGTGCTGCTCTGCCAGGACAAATTCACCTGCTTTCAGCTTTCAAACAAAGGTGAGCACCAGGATGAGAGACCAGCCCACTGGAGATGGATCAACAGACAGTTTTCTACTTTTCTCTCTCCCTAAATTTGTCCTCATTTCAGGAGATCACTGGATGGAGCAGATCAGTCCTTTGCTCTAGCAAATTAGCAGATCAGCACTGAACTGGCTGCACAGAGGGGTCGTGGGTGCCCCATATCTGGAGACAACCAGGGTCAGGCTGGACAGGGCTTTGAACAACCTGATGGTGCTGTAGGGTGTCCCTTTTCATTGTAGGGAGTTGGACCATGGCCTTTAAAGGTCCCTTCCAACTCTGAGGATTCTATGATTCTATGAAATCTGCTGTTCTCAGAATAGGTCAGCGAAAAGACAGCCTAGAGCAATAGGACATGCTCTTTCAGTCAACATATCAATGAACTGCAAAGTACTGTAGTTGCTGTTAGTATGAGCATGTTAAAAGCTGCTAGGACAATTTCACTGAAGATTCAGTGCAGCCACAAAAGCCAATGCTCTAGATGCAATCACCAACTCAGGAAAACCCCACAGCTTGGATTTCTTGGAGTTTATTAAGAAGTAGCAAATGGTAGACAATTTTATTACCTTGTAACAGAAAAGTATACACATAAATTTCCCTTTCATTCTCAATTCAAAAAGAAATAAGTGAGTAGCAAGAAGAAACTAAACATACCTTAATGAAGAAACAGAAGGTTGGCAGTTCCCATGTAGGAAAATCACATATAAACCCTGACCGTATTATAAATGACATTGTTTTGCTTACTGAAACACTTCAATTTTTATTTTCAGCTAACTCCTTCATTTATGGATTTAAGAAAGGAGCTCTGTCCCAGAGATTTTGATTGAAATAATAAATAACTCTGGACTAACTACACTTGAGACTCCTCAGGAACAGTAACAGGACAACAGTAGTCTACATCTCCTTAAAGCCAGTGTTTTTACATGATAGTACTTGAGAACAGAAGTCCCAAACCACCCAATCTTGCATTAACTTCCTTTACAAGATATACTGCCATTCTTACAAATCTTCCACAAAGCTGTTGTGCTGACAGCCCTGTTGAAAATGAAACATCAGCAATGTAACTTTCAAAAACTGAGGTTTCCTTCGGTTGCTTCCCTACTTCTTTTCCTCACCAAACACCAACAAATGCATCTATCCAAGACCTTTCTGAAATAAAAAAGGCCAGGAAATGTGTACCAGAAGGAAACTGAGAAACTGAAGAAACAAATAAGAACTTCATTTATTTCTATGGAATATAAAGCTAGAGAGAGAAAGACAAAGTGAGAGGAATACTACTAAGTGCAAGTATTTCCATTTGCATTTCCATTGACAGTACACAGCTATATGAGCACATACCTTGAACACTGTACTTGGCTCTTCATTTAGGTTCACCCGAGTTACTACACGTCCTGAGCTTTCCTCCACATCAAAAATGCTGGCGCTGTAAGGAAACTGGACAACATCTACTTTGTACCGGACTAGGCTTGCTGGTGTGCCCTGGAACGCAGAAACAAGACAACGTAAATATCCTTTTATTTTTGCATTCTTCTTTAAGTTACTCAAAATTTAAAATGCAACACTGGTCAACAGATCACCACAACTGTGATGTCACAGAGCCCGTTATGATGTAACTGAGCCCTTTTGTAATGTCACAAAGCTTTATTATGATGTCATAGAGCCCCATTGTGACGTCACAATAACCATTATGATGTCACAGAGCCCCATTGTGATGTCACAGAGCCTATTATGCTGTCACAGAGCCCATTGTGACGTCACAATACCCATAATGACATCACAACGCCCCATTGTGACGTCACAAAGGCCAATTGTGCTGTCACCATGCCCCATTGCGATGTCACAATTTGCAGCTTGCCTGCCTAAGAATCAGGTTTGTTCACGAGGACTTCCCCCCCCAAATATCTTATGTGATATTGTGACATACGAGAGGCCCGGGTTTCTCAAGATTTCATATAGAAGTGAGCTGAAGAACTCGTAAGGTCAATGAATATACGTAAATACAGACAGAGTCTGTATTCGGTCTGTTTCCTTATTATTATTGCTTTTAAAATTACAGATGACGGCCATGGCTTAATGTTGTTTAGCATATCTTTCAACAGCACTTCAACATCCAAATTATAAAATCTCCTCTCCAGTTCAGGAAATGTCTAAATAATAAGTTTGAATCAAAAATTCAACTGCTTTCTCACTGTGTCCTGAAAGCTGACAATGGGAAGATGTGAGCACTGCATTTCTGAAAAGTCAGACTACAGTTCTAACACAGGATAGTCTGTCCGTGTAGTACCCACACACTTTTTTAGAGGAGACAAGATGAGAAGAGCACCGTGTTCCTTGGGCAAAGCCACCATGTGTCCTGGAAGGACTGTTCCTGTACAGCAACATCCAGAGGTTTCACTTTTCTCCAAAACTGGATGTTGAAGAACTGAAGTTTCAAAATCTTCATCTCCAGCAACTAAATCACTCAGATGACGTTCCAACAAATTCCAATGTGTGCATCATCTGTGGCTGATCAGGAGAGCACTAGACTGGTTCTGGAACCATCACCTGAACACTCTGCTGGTCCACGTGGACAATTTAAGATGGTCGTGAATAAATGCCCCTGTGATCTGACAGGACACCTGTGGCCTTGTCCTGTAACAGAGGGGTTTTTCCTCTCGCCATTAGACACCATGGCTGGTTCTAAGCACAACCTTGGAAAACACATCTGTGCTAACGCTGATAATAAAAAAAAGCAGGTTTGCAGATGGATTTCAGTAGCCTTGTAACAAACGGTTCAGTCCCATTTTAATGGCAAGAACAAGCAGAGACAGCCTATGCATCTGTGCATGTGTCACAAACTGTCTGCACACACACAAAAACACCAAAATTAAGAAGAGAATCAGAAGAAGGGCAGCCAGAAGGATGGATCTTTCAGACTAGTACCTCAGTGTTCTTTAATAGGAGGTTATTCACTTAACTGTTTCACCACAGAGTGCCTAAAATAAATAACACCTATCCTTCAGAATGAAGTTTCTTAATGTATTCTTTGCATTGCAGTGCACTCGTTCCAGCAGTCACCTTTCCAGGGACCTTCAGAGCATGTGGAATGACCATGCCTGTCAGCATAGCTCGCAGGCAGCTGGCTCCCAGCACTCACAGAATCACAGAATCACAGAATTGTAGGGGTTGGAAGGGACCTCCAGAGATCCAGGCTTTGCTGCAACAGCTGCTTTTGTGAATGCATGTGGTGAAGTTTCTCCAGTGTCAGATGGATAGTGGTCCACACAAGAATTAGAGAAGGGAGGTCTCTGGGAGGTATCACCAACCTCTTTTGGGGTGGGATGTATCCTTCCACTGGTTTCAAAGAATTTCTGGGAGAGGATGAACTTTAGCAGGTTACCGCCATTCTCAGCAAGTGACCCTTCACTAATACTGTTATTGCTCACTAGTAATTCGCCTGCTTTCAAAGGCCAAAAGGTGGCTAAGTGGCAGCTTCCTAAATCACTGGGAACTACTAATGGGGCCCCTGGGCAGCCTGTTCTAGTATTAGATATGGAGGTTGGCAACCCTGCATGCAGCAGGGGGATTGGAGCTTGATGATCCCTGGAATCCCTTCCAATGCAAGCCATTCTGTGGTGATTCTGTGTGCTATACAGAAGGAAAGAAAATGCCAAACAAGGTGCAGAAAGCATCTTTTGTGTCTATTATATATATACTTACTTCTTTCTTTCCTTTTGCACATTGATTTCTGTAGAACTGTTTGGCAGTGCAGCTAAATTGTTGCTACCTGGATATTCAGTAGATTAAGAGAAGCACTTACAAAGGCAAGTCCTGCTGCTGGTATCACTGCAGCTTCTAAACAGACGTCAGACATCATGCTGTACTCCAACAGACAAAATATCCCAAACCAAAAGCTTCATTAAGAGAAAATCGGTATTTTCTATCTGCATTCAACACTGTGCTACAAAAGAGCTTTGCTGTTCCTGACAACGTATTTAAATGCACATGCCTAGCTCATGCTAGGAAAGTTCTGTAAACTGGAGCAGAAGTATTTCACAAAGTGTTTCAAGTTCAGTAAATGAGACCAACATTTTCTTGATACAACAGAAGCACAATGAAATGCTGATTCAAAATACACACTCTGAACTGAAATACATGTGAATAAATTTGGGATAGGTGTTTGTGTAAAGTTCTGGAGCTCCCAGCACAAGAAAAATGTGGAGAAAGTACAGAGGAGGACCGAGGGCTGGAGCACCTCCCCTACAATGACAGGCTGTGAGAGCTGGGGCTCTTCAGCTCCAAGAACTTGTAGTGACCTTCCAATATCTGAAGGGGACCTACAGGAAAGCAGGGAGGGACTTTTTATAAGGACAGGTAGCAAGAGGATAAGCTTCTGTGGAGCTTCTGTAGAGCCTAGCCACTCCTCTGGATGACTTAACTGCAGCAGTGACAAGGGCCATGGACCCTGTGCCCTCCATGGACATCCAGCCTGGCCCAGGAAGGACTCAGCAACAAGCTCAGCACTGCAGTGCCACTGGCAAAACAGTACCTTCAGTAACCCAGAACTGGGTCTTACAGAAATGCTTTGATGTTCAGTGAAGTAATAAGCAACAGACTATGCTAGTAGGTAGAAGTATTTTACAGGACCATGCACACTACACACATGAAAATCCCTGAAAACACGAGAAATTTCAGAGATCACTGTGTAACAGAGGTAATTATACAACATTCTCCCTGTAATTTCTCTTCAATATCATTATAAGAGGAAATCACCTGCTGTAATCCATGCTGCTTGGCTACACAGTACTGGTGCTCACATTTGCTTGCAGGACTAGAAGCTATCATCATCATTAAACATGCACACGCTGGGCAATTTGTTTTTAAATAAAGAAAAATCTCATCAAGTTATTGTTCCTGATATGACTATCAAGTACACCTCTCCCCTGTCATTTCTGAAAATAACAAAATGGGAATTTATTTTTTATTTACTGCATTTTGGCATCAACATAATTAGAAAAATCTCCAGAGAAATTTTCCAGGGAAATCTATTCAGAAGCAAGTTTCAGTTATCTCAAGTATTAATCTTCTTTTGCTTCTGTTATGAAGTAATTCAGATGCATTCCTACGTCTACAGCAAAATTCAAACAAAAGGTTATGTTCCCAAACAAATAATACCAATAAAGCATGAAGACAGGATTTTAGTTGGCAGGAACCATCTTCATTCTTTTGAAGCGAAATTTTCCAAGGAGTTCAAGAATAATACGAAACTCAGCTCTAAAGATCATCCAGCTTCAATTCTTCTTTTTACTACTGCATAATTTCTTAAGGTTCCATTTGCTCTGGGGAAACTACACTCAGTTGGGACACAGCTGATGGCTATGGCACGAAAACATCCCCAACATTTGTATTAGCTTATGAGGATGCACACGGAGGCCCTGAAAAAAGAGGTCGCCCAGAGTACATGTGAGCACTATTCAGATAACTCCCACAGGGCACAGAGAGGCTAAACAAAAATTAGAATGTGGGGAAGTCATGAAAAATTGTGAGCAGTGTAACTCCAGTAACATCTTCTGTATGTTTTCATGCGTGTTTCTGGAACCAATTCTAAAGGAAGCAAGGAATCATTACTCCCAATATCCTAAGCTGGGTAACCGAGGCACAAAACCAGGTACTTGAGGAGAAAAGTGACCCATGTTGGTGGGTCTCAAACCAGCTAAAAATTGTGAACTGTGCACTTGTGTCTGTTTACCCTCTCATTTACCAGTTATTACTAGAATTTTACATACATTCTCAATTTTCAGCTAATTTACTCTGTAGTACATAACCCAATGAAAAAGTCTGCAAGTCTGGATGAAATCTGGAAATTCTGAATTAATGACAAGCTGAACACAAAAAGAATGTAAGTTTTTAAAACCATGAGATAAAATTACTTCAAGAGCTCACTGAATTTTCAGCGTCTTTCCCTCATACTGAACTCCAGCAGGCTCTGTGAAATTCAACAGTAATAATTTTTAAAAGATCAAGCCCCAGACTGTTCAAGAATGCTTTTACTTCTAGTTAATTATCTGTGAAACCTCTTATTAAATATCTGTTAGCACTGTACTTTCAGCGAATGCCTGTAAAACAATAAGGACAATTACTCTCAATCTGACAAAGGGGATCAATTGAATGCGAACTTTACAAGGTGCTACGAGACTGGATAAACCATTAAGTGGGATGGTCCAGAGCTCTGGAAGCTGGCTGGTCATTAAAATTAAGCTTCTGCATCTGCTTCTATTGACAATTCAAATCAACAAAATCAGAACATACAGGGGAAATGCATGAGACTGAAGTATTCTAGCTTTCACAGTGGTAGCCCATATGAAAGAGGCACCTTGTGATGCATCAGTCCTGGGAATATTCACCTTCTGATTATTACACCAAGCATTTCTTCACAAGCTCAAGCTGCTCTTGTTTCCTAGTATTTGGAAGGTTAAGCACTTTGAGAAAATGATTAGAAT